GGTGGAGGGGGACGGGAAGCCCCGGGTGGAATCGCCTCCCGCGCCCCCGCGGGGTTCGGAGCCGAGCTCGGCGCGGGGGTCCCCGGGCAGGAGCACCGTGGGATGGTTTGGGCTGGAGGGCTCCTCTGAAGGTGCCACCCCGTGCCACGGGCAGGAATCCGGCATTAGGGCATCCCCCGCTGGATGCGGGGGCAAGGCGGGGCTTTGGGGCGGTTTAAACAGTTGTGGTTTGGGAAGGAGCGCTCCCGGCTCGGGCTGGGGCTTCACCTGCTCCTGGTGGTGCTGCCCTTGCTGGGCTGGGGGGTCGTTGTGTCTCCTCTGCCCTCAGCACCTCCGTCTGCACACCAAGTGTACAAGGACCCTCTCCTTCCTCAGAAATGGTGTTTATCCCACTTAGTGTCTCTTTTTTATTGCGTCCTTAGCCCATCCTTGCGTGCAGGTCAGACTTCCTGCAGGATGCCCTCGTGTTCCCTCCACAGCACGTCCTTGCTGGAGACTCCATGTGCTCCTGTTCCTCTAAAGACAATCTCCCCTCACCACTGATCATGTGCATGTTTAATTTCTTCTCTTGTTATTAGTGTTGGAGAAAGATTCTGCAGGTCTCTTTCAAAGTGTTATGTTGTTTTACTGAGAAGACACGTGGCAGATCAGGGCTTGGTTGGCTGCGAAACATTTGATATTGGGCCTGTAGAAGGTTGCACAGGTAGCTGGAGCAGGTGGCAAATGTTCCTGGTTTCCTTCTTCCGAACATTTAGTGTTTTCCAAGACTTTCTGTGGATGGAGGTGCAGCAGCAGCAGAACTTTTGAGAGATCAGTGAGGGTTTTGGGAAAGGCAGTTTCCCCCTGGTTGCTGTGAGTTTCCTTTGGTTGCACAACAAGCCTGGCATGACCCACTCTGCCCTTCAGACAAAGTGGTGCAGATCTGAGTCGAGTTTAATCCACGCTCTGCTTCGTGTTTTCCATTTTTTCCCCCAAATAAAATGAGACAGTCATTGGTTGGACTGTCCTTTGGCATTCTAGAATTATTGGAACTTTAGGTTTGGTTGTCTTATTTAAAAATAAGTGGAGAAATTGAGGTCAGTGGATGACACAGGACCTCGAGGAGCACCCAACAGTTGCAATAACCTCAAGTCATGTGGAAGTGGAGCTTCCTGGTCACTCTGAGTGTGAGAGAAGTGAAAAGATAAGGAAGAAGGGCATGCCACTGAGGAAGGAAGAGGTTTTTAGTTCTTCTCCCTCCACACACAGTTTTGATGCTCGTTAGTTGTTGGTTTGCAGCCATCCAACAGCTCTACCAGCCTTTTAAAGATGTGTTTTTCCACTTATAAGCAGGTTGACTTTCCTGTTTCATGGCTTAGGTGGTCGTTGCTCCAGTCACCATGTAATGGTAGAACCTGACAGGGCCAAACATTGCTGGTTTTCTTAAAATTCACAGTTTCTCATTACACTTGTGTTCATTAATCATGGAATTGTAGAATGGTTTGGGTTGAAAGAGACTTTTAAAGTGCATCTTATTCCACCCCCTGCCATGGGCAGGGACACCTTCCACTATCCCAGGGTGCTCCAACCTGGCCTTGGACACTTCCAGGGATGGAGCAGCCACAGCTTCTCTGGGCAACCTGTACCAGTGTTGTGCATCAGGTCAGATTTCTGTTGGTGTTGATAATTTTTAGTTCTCCACTCTTGGTCTGTAGCCTTGGGGGTGTTGGGGGCAGCTGGAGGTGACTGGAAGTGTTGGGTGACCTGTGGTGAGTCAGAAGGTGATGGCATTACTGCCATCAGGGGGACTCTGGGCTGTGGGGGCGAGGGGGGCTGTGACACTGTCCAGCTGTGCAGTACCACCAGTCACTAATTGTCACTGTCACATCAAAACCCCTCCCTTGTGGACTGTGAAACCTTCAGACCAGAAGGGAGGAGTTTAATAAGGTCTGAACTGTCCCACGGCCCTCCTTTGCCTGATGGTGTTTCGGGAGGTGCCATCACAACATTCATTTGTGTGATAACTACAGAAATTCAATGAAATAAGGCTCCAGACACTAAGAAGTGGTAGATCCATCACCACCTGTGGCTGGGGAGGAGCCTGGAGTGTGGTGGGGAGGGCAGGAGTGGGGCTGACCCCACCTTCTGCTGTCCTTCTGGCCTGATTCCACTCACCTGCAAGAGGGTTTGTGTGTTAGTAACAGCTAAAGAGCCCCTGGAGAATTCAGGTGTTCCCTATTAATGGGAATTACTGAGTGGTGCTAACCCAGTCAGAGCCCAGGGATTGCCCACATGTCCCTAAACTGAAGGCCCAGCAAGGGCAAACATCCCCTTTTTCTCAGCTCCTGCTGTTTGGGGCACAGTGAAGTTCTGAATAATCCCTGTGGGGCTGTGCAGAGCATGTCAGGATCCATCCCATTCCTTGTGCCTGTGCTTCAAGGAGATTGATGGGAATATTGCCTTGTCTTCAGCTGGAGAACCAGCTCCAAAAACCAGCTGCACACCCCAGGTTTCTGCACTGGAGGGAACTGGGGCTGGGGGGAGCCTTGGATTAGCTGTGGAGTGAGGCTGCTCTTCCTTCTAAGGTGGGTCCCATGGGCTGCTTTGTGTTAAGAAAGCCCCTTAAAATTATCTTTGAGAACAACAGGATTGTATTTTATATTTTTAAGGTGATTTTTGTTAATTTAGCATCCTAGAAATGCAGGTGGCCTTGTGAACACAGATGAGTGCAGCCTTGCAGCACTTCAGGCTGGTGTGCAAGAATATTTCCATCCTCCTCTTTCCACAGAAAAAGCTGTGTAGAGTCACCAAATATCCTGTTCATCCCCAAATATCCTGTCCATAGCCATGGAATAACCAGTTGGAGTCAGGAGCCTGATGCTCAGAGCAGTGCCTGACACACTTTTTAATTTTCAGCTGCTCTAGTTCTGCCTTTTGCAGGGGTTTTTCCTGCTCCTGAGCTGTGCAGCAGGGATTCAATCCTGGGACCTGCAGGTGTGTGATCCATGGAAGCAGCACCGTGTGCTTTAAATGAGGCACTTTCTTGATTACTTTCCTAAAGTGGCTGCTCAGAGCTGTTCTCCATAATGTCACTTTAAATGCCTTCCCCGTGCATCAGCTTTGCAGACCTGTAAGTTCCCAGTAAATAGATTTATTTTTAAGGCACCACTAAATGAATTACAGTAAGCTTGTTTTTTTTTCAGTGGGGCTGTCTCCACTAGTTTGTCCTGTCACTGGGGTGTTTAAGCAACTTGGTGTTAATTCTGGAGAACTTCATGTCATACCAAGACAAAACAAGTTCCCAGTGAAAGGTGAGAGCTGTGCCCTCAATATTTACACTGCCATCAAAGCAGGGCTTTCACACTTGGTGCTTTCCCACCCCACGGCTCTTCCAGAGGGCAGATTTGATGGAATTCCCCCTTGCAGCTGCTCTTCCCTGATTTTTTTGCCTCCTCCTTGTTGGAGGCTTTTCAGCCCTGTGAGCTAAAACAGGAGCTGTGATGTTTGTGAGCCCCCTCCAAAGTTGTGGCGTTTTATTGTTCCTGATCTCTGTTGTGATAGTAGAAAATCCCCCTGCACGTGTAATCCCTTGAAATTTGGAGTAATCCTTTAATCTTGGGTCACCCAGAGGTCTGGGGGGATGTTTGAGCGTGGAAATCTCCTGGAGCTGCTGAAAACACTTTGGTTCCAGCACAATAGTGGGGGGGATTTCCCTCCCTCCTCCTCCCTGCAAGGCTGGTTTTCTCAGATACTTTGATTTAATAAAATTGCTGTAAGCTGAGCACAGTTTTTGTGGCTGTTGGGAGGGTTTTCTTGTCAATTGTTTATTCAGTGTAAGAGTTATGGTGGATAATTCACTTACTTGTTAATTATTCATATTAAAGAAGTGTCAACATACAGGAAAAGTTATTTTAAATGGGGGAGGAGGAGGTGTAAGAATTTTTTTACCACTGTTTCAGTGCTATCACAGCTTTGGGAGTCTTGTTTTCAGACTTTTAGGGCCATCAGAAGTGCCTCTGTCTCAGGGCTGTGCTTGCACACCCATTAAATACAGTTTTTAAATACCCCAGAACAATTTTTAAATCCATTTCATGGAAGCATCTGTGTGCCCATAGAAGAGTATTTTACAAGTGGCTTAAATCTAACACAATTAAAGTGTTTTTCCTGAGGAATTTTTGATGGTTAACTGAATGGATTTAGGGATAATTAGTTAGTACAGCCTTCTGTTTAGGCAAGACTTTAATTTCTTATTAGGAATAGTGGTTGGCTTTTGACAGAGGACTGACAGGCCCTGTAGAAGTATTAAAATGGACAAATTTTGTTAACATGGCAACGTTTGGGGATTTTTTTTTTCTCTTTTGCCTCCACAAGTTTACGATTCCATCATTAGCTAAGGTGTATTGCACATCTTTTATGTACAATGAGTAGTTTAAATGGCACACACTGATTTATTTGAGTGTCTGAAATGAAAAGACGACACGAGGAAGTTTTGAGAATTATTATTATTTCCTTCAGTCAGCTCCGTGGAAATCTTAAAGCTGCCACTGCTGCTTTCTCATTTTATTAATTGTGTCTCTCTGATACGGCACAGAATGTTTTAATTTCTTATTTTTAGATGAAACAGGAAAAAAACAAAGGAGGCAGGAGAAGTGACAGGGCAGCGATCATGGGGGGAGTGTTCAGCACCCCGAGATGCTCACAGGGAAGGTGCTGCAATAAATCCTGCTCTTCATTAATTTCTAATCACTCTGTGACACTGCCAGTGTCAGAGAGATTGTCTGACACGAGGAATCAGCAGCGGGGAGGGAAAAAGCCACGCTGTGAATTTGTGCCGTGCCCTGACGTGACTTATGGAGCCTCCCAGGGCTGCCACGGCTGCTCCTCGCTGCCTTTGGGCTCAGGGCTCTGGGAAAAGGCGAGAAAATGAGACAAGCTCTTGTCTTGTGTCAGCAAAAAAATTCCTGGTTTGGCTCAGGGCTGTGAGATCTGAGGGATCCCACAGCCTGGGGAGTGTTGGGTGTAGCTGGGAGGAATTGTCGTGCTGTGATGCTCAGGCTCTCACCCCTTTGGGTATTTTAACCTTCACTTCTTTGGGTTTTTTAACCTGATTTTTCTCCCACTATTTTAACCTGATTTCCCCCCCTCCTCCAGCATTTTAATCCGTCTGTGGACTTTTGGAGAAGTTGAAATTCCAGTTAACACTAAAAAAAGCTCTAAACTTTGTGCCTGGTGTGGAGCTGGGAGGATGTGGATCCCTCCACGTTCCTGGGGGGAAAGCAGGAAAAATTCCTTCAGTCTCCCAGCTCCTGCTGTAATTCCTGCTGGAATTGATCCCATGGGAGCTGTTTGTTACCCTGAGCTGCAGGCAGGAGCTGTGGGTGAGGTTGTCTCGTGCTGGACCAGGTTGTTGGGAGTGGAGGAATCAGGATATAAACAGGACTGAGGGAGCAAAGAGGCTTTTTAAAGCAAAAAACCATTGATAAACTTCTTTTTATGACTGATGTGGATGAGTCAGATGTACATTTTTTATAACCTACGGACGAAATTCCATTCTTTATAAACTGCAAGCCCCAGACACCACGGAGTTGTTCACAATTCTCATGGAGTTACTTGGGAAGAAAACAAGTTTTCCTCGAGGTGAAGTGGGGAGGAAGGAGAAGAGCACCATGATTGGTACAGATTTGTGTTGTGCACTAAAAAGTTGGTAATTTTGGGGCAGTGGGGAGTAGATTTTAACTCTTCTTCCTGCAGCTGGGGGGTGATGAAGATGATTTACCCTAAATCAGGCTTTTCCCATTTTTTTTTTTGATGTATAACCAATTCTTGTTCCCATTTTAGGATGTCATCGGCCAAGTTTTGCCAGATGCAACGACAACAGCCTTTGAGTGTGAGTATGACTCCTATAAACCATCCCCTCTGTCATGTTGCAGGGCTGCCATTTTAAAAATAAATAATATTTACACTCGTCCTGTGTTACAGTTAAATATTTATGCATTTCTGCGAGTTTCATAACTGTACTAGCCCAAACAATATTTTATTATTTAATCACATCTCCAATGAGCAGATTGCCACAAAGTAGCTTTAATTACCAGCGTGACCTTCCCGTGCTCTGACTCCTCAGTGCAATTATGTTGCTCAAATTAAATGAAAAGTATAAACTACCTGTAGGTTCTGAGCTGAACATTTTAATCCTCTCAGCGAGGGGGTTAGTGCAGATTTAGCCTCGTATCTGTTCTTTGAGCCCTTTTTGTTCTTGTTTTTTGAGGGGTTCCTGGGGGATTGTCCTGTCTGGAGAGGAATGAGCTGCAAAAGGGAGTCAAAAATCTGTGTCTCAAGATACTGAGCTGGGCTTTTCTTCCAAGTGGAGAAGACTCCTGTTATTCCCTTTTAATTTTTATTGTATTTTTTCCTGTGATAGAGATGAAATGGCAGGAGCTGGAGGGGATTAAAGTGTTCTGTGAGTGAGGTGGTGACACTGAGGGTGACAGAGCAGGTGCAACACTGGGCCTTGCCTTTTTAGCATTTCTTCCCTTTTTAGAGCTTTATGGACAGCCCTGTCCATAAATAATCAGAGGAATTATTGTTTTATGGTCCCTCAAGTACTATTTATCTTGCTTTTCATATCATTGAGTTTTCCCCTCCTGAAACACCACAAAACTAAGAATGGAGATGAGTTTTATTTCTGTCTCCATGACATTTCTCCTGCTCTGCTTTTTAACACAAGACTTTCTGCAGGGACCTGAGCAAAACCAGGCTCCAGACCTTGCCACTTATATTCATTTTGATTTGCTAACATTTTTTTGCACGCCTCCCACATCACACATTAGCTGTGTTTGAACTTCATGCACCAGCAGCAGCCTCTGCAATCAGGGCAGTAGCCCATATTAATGGGACCATGTGTAGAACTTTTCCTGGAAATACTGATTTCCTCGTGTCTTCCAACATCTGCTTCTGTGCTTTCCCTTCATGTCTCTAGTCTGTCATTTACATCTGCACAAAGCCATTTCCCCTGCCATTTAACTGGCATCTAAAATATGTTATGGATATTGATGCCTGATTTCTTTTTTGTTTGTTTGTGGTTTTTTTTTTTCTTTTTTCCTGGGGACTTTTTCCATCTCCAGTGCCTGGATTTTACCAGCTTGAGGTTTGTTCTCAGCTGCTTCAGATGGGGATAATTCCCATCCAGCACAGGCTTCTCTGTTCAGTTATTGTTATCCCCAGTGTCCTACCTGGGGCTGCACTTCTCCTCCTGTTGGACCTGGATATGATTTCACTGCCGAATTCCACGGCCCTCCCAACAAACTCCCTCCCAACATATGGCCTGTTATGATCCTTTTCTCCAAACTCTGCCATTTTGTGGATTTGTGACACGCTGCAGATTTTGGGAAGATTGCTTCATGATATTTGTTTGCCATCTGCTGCACTGTTTGGTGTCTTGTGAGGGTTTCTCCCTCCATTTTAAGCGGCATTTGCAAAATCCAGCCAGGACTTGAGGATTTGTTGGGGTCTACTTTTGCTTCCCTGATGTGCTGGAAAACGGAGAGGAACCTGGAAACCTTCCTGAGCCCAGGGAGTTTTTGGGCTGTGCCCACTTAGATGCCATGGTGGGGTGGCAAAGCAGATTTTTCTGCTGCTTTTGCTCTTTGATTATTTTATATTCAGCTTTTTTTAGTGCCAGTTAACATTTTACACCTTTTCATCCACGCATTTTAGATTTCTTCTCTTTGTACCACCATCAGGAATTTTGCAGCTCTGAGAACACTGGAGTTAATTTCCCAATCATTTGGAGTGAATAAAGTGGGATTTTTCTGAGCATTTTGCCAGAGTTTCCCACTTTTCTTTTTCTTTTTTTTGTTTTTGGTGGTCCCAGCTCAGTCTGTTCCCTCACACTCAGCCTGTTAAACAGCTTTTATCCATGTATTCCCCCCTCTCTGTCCTATATTTCCCCTCTTTCTGCTTTCCCTCTGCTCCTTGCTGTCCGTGTGTGGTGTTTGTTGTGTTCCCTATTCCAGCAGCTGCTTTTCCAGCCCTTCCCGCTCTGGGACTTGGGTTGGGGCCAGGCAGCAGTTTTACAGCTCCTCCTCCTTTCTGCCTCAGACATTTCCAGGCAGGGAAACATTTCACTTTCAACTCACCAGCTCTTCCTAAATCTTTCCGTGGAATTCATGGAATTCCATCATTCCAGCTTCAGGAGTTTGAACAGTCTGGCAGTGCACCAGTTAAATTTCCATGAGAAAAGGCTCTGCTAGGACATATCTCTGCTCTCCAGTCCCTCTTCCAGCTTCCACACTTCCAGCATCTCTCCCACTACATTTTAGGAGTGTTAATTCCGAGGGTTTTATGGTTTTACTCTTTTTCATTGAAAGCCTCAGAATTTACCTGTGAGGTTTTCAGAGGCAAAAGGGACAAAGTCCTTTTCTCCCACAGTTTTCATTATTTAGCTCTGATCTCTTCCCTGATTCTTGTGCATAACTAGGAGCAGGAGGGAGTTTTCATCCATCATGGCACTTTTTTTTGTGCTGATGGAATATATACTGATAATGATGGAGCGGGGCAGGGGCCTGGGGGGAACCTCCTGCAGGTGAGTTCAGGTGGGGTTGGCTTTAAAACAGGAGGGTTTAGTGGGAGCAAAGCAATTGTATTTTTAATTTTCTTTGAATTTCTAGGAATTCCTAGAATCATGGAATGGTCTGGGTTGGAAGCCACTCCAAAGATTGTCTCATCCCACCCCCCTGCCACGGGCAGGGACACCTTCCACTATCCCAGGTTGCTCCAACCCGGCCTTGGACACTTCCAGGGATCCAGGGGCAGCCACAGCTTTTCTGGGCAACCTCCAATGACAGTTCCAATGAATTCCAAGGAAACTGCCCAAACTTAGCTCGACCTGGGACAACTTAAACACACTCAAACCTCACCCTTCTATTTACTGTGTCCAAAAAACCCCTTGGTGGGTGTCGGTGAGGGGTCAGAGCACGTGGAAGGTGCTCAACATCTGGGGAGGTTCTGGCACTGAAAGAACTGTTGGGACCAAAGTTAGGAGCACTTGGCTTTAAACAGAACTTTAGTTTTGGTTAATTAGTTTGGAGTTGCTGTCTCAGAGTACCACGTTAACTTGTGCTGGTGGCTTTTACGTTGTTCGTTTTGATTTGCTTCTAAAAGTCCAGGTAAAAACGTTAAATATTAAAAACGGTTTAAAAAATTTAAAATACCAAGAATATTAAGAGCATCCTGCTTCCCTTGTTGATGTGTGTCATGCATTTCTCTGTCAGATGAGGATGAGGATGGTGACCGGATCACAGTCAGAAGCGATGAGGAGATGAAGGCCATGCTGTCCTATGTAGGTACAGTATAAAAAATGCTGATTTTTTTTTTCCCCCATGTTTATCTCTTTTCCTTGGTGTATTTTGCCTTGTACCAGAGTTAACAGAGGCTGCAGTTTGCACTGGACAATATCCCTGGATTAAATGTGTTTAAAAACTGTATCACATGAGATATATGGACATGCTTGACTTTAAAAAAAAAAGACACTTGTACACTTACTGATCATATCATAAACATTAAGAATAATGCATCTTAATGACTTTTGCATTAGGTATAGTGCAGGCTAAATGGACTATCAATTTCTTGTATTTTTTATGCAGTACTTAAAGTAACGGCTCATTAAAAATGAACCCCTGGGCTCTAAAAATTTTTCAAAATCTACTTTCATCTGGAGACTGTTTCACCCCTCCTAACAGAGGAGTTTCATTGTAGCTGCAGGCTCAATATTCATGGAGGATTTAAAGCTGTATTTTCTGTTTTTTAATAGGAGATATGTGTGTCTGTGTGTGCCTTTGTATAGGTAGGTGTCTGTAAAATCTGTCTGGATACCTGTAAATATAAAATCTGTCTGCAGGAATAGGGTGCAGTTACTTATGGAGACTAAATAATTTGAGTTGGTCTTTCATGCTGCAGATTTAAGTGGAAAAATATAATTTGACCTCTTTTGGTTTTGTCATATGAAATGGATAAGCAAGAAGGTGACAAATGGTGTTTTCTCCCTGGGCCAGGTGGGCTACAAGGGGTGTGTAGATGTTGTTTAACTTGGAGCCTGTCAGCACCAAGCCCTGCTGGGTACCACCCATAGGTGGTTTTGGTGGGACTTCATGGAATCCTGGAATGGTTTGGGTTGGAGGGATCCTAGAGCTCATCCTGTTCCACTCCCTGCCACGGGCAGGGACACCTCCCACCAGCCCAGGTTGCCCCAAGACAAAGGATCCCCATCAGGGCTCCTGGGCCAATGTTGGAGGCACCACATAGAACAGAAGGGCTTAAAAGGTAAATTAAGGTGATTAAGAGGACTGTCCTTTTTATCTGACCCTGCTCCATCCTGGGAGGGTTGACAGGAAGAAATGTCAGCACAGACTTCCAGCAAATTCCATTTTTTTTATCCCACTCACTTTATCACATTCTTTTATATAGAATCATATCATGGAA